TATATATATAGTATTGCTGGTAGTGTTAGTAATTAAATAAATTTGCTTCTTTTCCTCACTAGAATAATAATCGACCTCTTCGTATCTTTCCGTACGAAGTCTAATTCTATTATTATTTAATTAATTATTATAGGTAACTATCTCCTTTTTATCCGCGGTAGTATAAAAATTATTACGTTTATTAGGGTTCTATTTTATTTACTTTCTATAATAGCGTTTAAAAGGTATTATTCTTCTAGTAAATAGTTTAGAAGATGAGCGGTAGCTATAGCCTTTACTTTTTATAGCCTATTTATTGCTAAAGTATATTTTTTTTTCGTAGTTAAAACGACGGGAATTTAGGGTAAACGAAATATTTTTACGAAGTAGGTAGTTGGGCTTTTTTCCCTAGAGAGTTAATTTAGAAGCGGACGAAGTAGGAGGCGTTTCGGAGGTAGTAAGTGCCCCCTTAATTATTTTTAACCTGGGAGGGACTAGTAAAGTATTAAAAGCGGAATATAGCTTAGGAGTGGAGAGAGTTCTACTATTAAATTCTATTTTTAAATATTTAACAGTCTATTTTTAATTATAGCTTCCGAATTCGTTAATAATATAATTATAGTAGGTAAGCGTTTTTTATTCCACGTACTTAAAGAATTCGTTGATAATTAAATTTATAATTAGTTTAAAAATAAATTAGCGAAAACTTAAGTAGAGGGTATGTTAAATACGGGTATTAATAATATACGAGTCTTTTTCGCTAAGTTTACGAATGTAATAGATAATTTAAAAGGCTATATTTTAAAGATTATTTCCTTTGTAATAATCTTTGTATAAATAATAAATTAAGTTTAATTTAGTGAAAATTTGGGATTTTCTAGGATAGAATCTATTTTAAATAAACTTTTCCTACGTATCTAAATCTAATTTAATATTGGCGTACTAGATTAGGGTAAGTTAAATAATTTACTAAATCTTTACTATATTATAAAAGAGTTCGTAGAGGTTTAATTTAAAGTATTTTTTCTTTTATAACTATAATAACGTTATATTGTATAAATTTAAAGAATAAAGGGATTGATTTAAAATAAATATTTCTTTTAAATTAATAATAATCTTTTCTTTAGTATTTAAATTCCGGAGCGTTTAGGTAAAAGTAGCCGACATTCCTAGCTTTTTAACCGCGCAAACTATTATTAGGGCCGTCTAAGTTAGAAATATTATAGAAATTAATTATTAAATCTATAACGAATTTATTAAACGTATTTTTATTACCGTTTTAAGTAATTTTAATTTTAGCTTAGAAAACTTTTAAAATTGCTTATACGTTATCTCCTCTAAATAAATCGCCCGGTAAAAGTACTAATAAGTTTATTAGAGGAGGTAGATTTAATTATTCTCCTTATTCGTTAATTATAATTATAATAGGCTTATTAGTAAGTATTTTTATAAAGTATAGTAAAGTTTTAAAGGCCTTTATTAAAAGGTTTACAATTAGGTTTAGTATTATAAATAGTATTTATATTAAGATTAGAATTATTTTTATTATTTCGATTTCTTCTTCGACTTTCTCGTTAAAAAGAGGTAAACTTAATATATTTACTATAACTTCGGGAATTTAAAGCTCTAGTATCGTTGGTATAGGAATAATCGGCGGTTTGGGAGGCGGCTATCCTTAATTTAAAATTAAATTGGGGAGAGACTAGGGAATTTTATAAAATTTAAGAATTAGTTTCTACTTAAATAATAATTTAATATTTAATTAAAACTTAGGTAGAAAGCTAACGAATTTAATTTAACGCTTTATCGGAATTGTTCCTACTTTAATAATTTTTATAAATAGGGTTAAATTAAATGTTTTTACCCTATTTACGAAATTAGAAAATTAGGAAAATTGGATCTCCGTATTTTGAAAAGTTAGAAAGAAAGCATATTTATAATTTTGGGGTCTACTATTAATTAGTGAATCTAATACCTAATATCGCTAACTTATACTTTTATTACTAGAATTCAAAGCGGATTTTACCGTCGGTAATTAATAATATAAGAATTCGGCTATTAATATTAAAATATCGCTATAATTAATTTAATTCGAAAAACTTATACCCTAAATACTTTTATCTGTAAAGTTTCCTTCCCTATATAATTTCTATAAATTCTAGCTAAAATCCTAAAAATTTTAATTTGGAATATTTCTTTCTTCTAACGAAGTCGGATTTATAATATTCCCCTTTCGCCAAAGCCTAGGAGAGTTTAAAAGTTACTCTATTTTGAAGATTTCGGTCTAAATTTAAGGAAATTCGACTTTAAAAGAGTCGAACTACATTAATAATTATAAATTAATAAATTAAATTTTAAAACTAATATAATTTCCATAAAACGATTATAAATTATCGCCGATACTCTATATTTCCTTGGGTAATCAAGTTATAAATACGTCGTCTCCTTCGTATAAATTAAATTTATTAAGGGGAGGCATATTTAATATACTTATACTATTAATTCGAATCTATAACGTTATGTTTAAATTAAACTCCTACCTTTCCTATTCTTTATCCGAAAATATTTAGAAAAGAATAAAAATCGGCTTTAATTCGGTTAAAAACAATTTTAGTACAAATAATATTTTAATAAATAATTAAAGGAATAATTAGGTAGAATTTTTAAGATTCTATTATTAATATTAGGTACGCGATTCTAAAGGACTGGGCAATAGCGGATTTAAAATATCCTCCGACTTGCGAATGCCGGCTTTAAAATTGAATTTAGCGGCAGTATAATTATAATTATATTTCTCCTATTTAAATAAGGCTTTAAATTTAAATTTAATAGTAATAATAACAAAATTATACCTCTTTCATTCGGGTTGGGCTTTAATATTCTAAATTTTAATATCAATAAAAAATAATTATCCCTGCCTTTCCAATTTAAGTCGGGCTTTAAATGTTAAGGGTCTAGCGGTGGTACTATTGAATTATTATTCGCACCTCTCTTCCTTTTAAAAGGTTTTAATTAAAGAATTAGAATCAGCCTTATAAATCTTTAAATCCGAATACGGAATAGCCTTATCGAATTTATATTCGGAAAATCCGGTTTAAGAAATAACCTTATTACCTATCGGCAAATAGTCGGAAATATTAGCTTCGAAATCTATACTAATCGGTTCGGGTAATAAAGAAATAGGGTTATTTATATTGGTATCATATAATTTATTATTAAGATTATTTTATATATATTGGATTTAATATCCTTACTTAATAGATTTAAAGCTAGGCGAATCGGGAAGGGTTTGGCTGGAGTAGAAATCGGACTTTTATTCGCTTAATTCATTATTATCGACTTATTTTCATCCGCCGGACTTATAGCCAGAATATTTAAATTTAGGTTAATTTAAAATAAATTTACTTTTATCTTCGTTGTTACTAAATAAATCGTTTTAATTTTCTATTTTAATCGAAAGCCTCGTCGAACAAAAAAAGATTTTTGACTAAATTAACGCGGTACTTGAAAAATATATTTAATAAATAATTTAAAAATCTTTCTAAAGATATACTTATTTAGAAGCTAATTAAAAAAGTAAATAGGAAGGGGGGTATTTTTAAACCACTTAATTATACGAATATTTATTAATATTTCTAATTATTTATTAAAAATAAGAGGGAGGGATTTAATTAAAAATTTAAAACGCTATTGATTTTAATCCGACGTAATTTAATACTACTTAATATTCGGATTCGTATTGATAAAGTCGAATATATAGCGGAGGTCCCTCTAGATAGCGTAATTAATTAAATTTAATATATTAAAAGTAAGGTTAATTAATAATACGAAGGTAATAATTAAGTAAAGTAAATACGGGGCCGGGCTGTTAAAAACGGGTCGGCGGTCCGTTAATTTAAATAAAGAATAAAATTAATAATAAGTTTAAAACTATTATTAATATACTATATATAAAATATAGAAAAGTTACCTAAATCTAATTGGTAAATGTAAAAGATAATTATAATTATAATAATAAAGGAAGAAAACTAACTATATAGGAGCGAAACTCTCCGAATCTAATTTATAGGTCTAAATTTACTTGATTTGAGCTTACCTCAAGTTAAGGTCGAAGACTTGGACTTACCGGCTAAGTCTGACTTACTCAGCAGAGTCTGACTTGCCTATAAGTCTACCCGTGAGTGATAAATCTTCCCCCAAGTCGGTTGCCCGACTGGGTTAGACTTGTCCTCTCACACTCTAGTAATAAAGCTAATCACTACGTCGGTAAGGTAAATTCGTACCTTTCTATACGTATTATAGAGAAAGATTTATTACTAGAATATACTATCGACCTAGTATTATAGTAGTTAGAATTAAAGTAACAAAATAAATTCCCCAAACTATCCCTTATAGCCCTCAATATACTAACTATACCTACGATATCTTTAGAGGCGGAGAGGGTATTTAGTAAAACTAAATTAGTAGTCGGTTAACGTAGATATCATTTATTGAATTCTACTATTGAGTGTATTACTTTATGTAAGAATTGGTAGTAGATTTGGCGTTTTTGGATATTGGAGGTAGTATTGTATAATTGGATATGGGTATTGGAAGAATAATATATACTAGAAAAACGATATTCCGGGTCAAATCTAAATAAAGCAAATCAAATATCATTGTAAATAAAGTAAATCCGACCTCAAAATCTTGCAAATAAATCAAATCAGATCCCAGATTTGATTTGATTTGCGTTGTGTGCATTATTGACTGTACATGCGCAAGTGTGGGTGGATGCTTTTGGGCCTACTAATTCCTGAACTTGTAAGTTTGAGTTCATGTTCACGCCCCTTGATAGATGGAAAAGAAATGTGGAGTGGTGAGGGTGGCCGAGTGGCCGAAAGAATGAACCGAACATGGACAGTCGAATACAAATACAGGTTGCTTGATTCTGATCAGGCCCTTCGTTACGTTCAAAAGGCTAGAGGTGAAGGGCAAGAGGCTTCATTACTGAAGCCCTCGTTCCAATCTACCGCAGAATCTCAAAAACCCCTCTGGCCATACCTAGCTCGCATCCTAGCCAATGCTGACTCTTGTTGTTGCAAGGCAATGTCTAGCTCCTTATTCCTTTGTTCAGCGCGTATGTTGAGGATGTGTCTGCTACGCTCCATGCCGTGGCGGGCCTTTGCTACGATGTACTTTCGTTGGAGCAGACCGCCGATCGTGTCGTCGCGGGCGGCGGCGAGAGCGAGGAGGGCGTCTCGATCGCTAATGGAGATCAGGGGTTTATCGGTTAGATCGTGGCGCTCGGAGAGGAGAGAAAGGTAGTGGCCTTTGACGGTCGAAGGCGATTCCTCATCGGCGGATGGAGAGGGAGAAGGGGAAGAGTCTTTTTCCTCTTCGCTATCAGCTGAGCCTGACTCTTCGTCTCCCTCTTCGGTGTCGCCTCATCCTACATATTTCAAACTATCCTTCATTTGGTCGGTGTTTTTGACGAGGAGGTCCAAGGCCTCAGCAGACTTGGTGGCCGAGTTGGCGATGGCCTCTAAAGCCTCGACTTTACGAATGCTATGCTCCTTCTCCTCGGCGGTCTCGGTGTTCGGGCTATTGCGGGGGAGGGTGCTGAACAGCAGCTGGCCCGCAGAGGATGAGCCAGGGGCGGCGGGGAGAGGGGGTTGAGCATTCCCTTTTTTGTGGGCTCTAATCTCCCTGATGATGTTGTGAAGTTCTTCCATAAACTCGTTGGTACGGCTAGCGTCCTCCTTCTCGGTACGGTTCTTGTCCCACCAAGCTTTAAGTTTAGATTGGATATGCAAGGGAACCTATGCGAGTTAATAGAGGTAGCTAGACAGCTGGGGTTCAAGTTCTTTAACTTACAGGAACGCATGTCTTATTACCCTTTGCGCATTGCCAGCACGCAACGCCAAGTCCACCTTGGTTGTAGCATGTCTGGCCGGGTGTAGTGAAAGCCCTGGTGACACATGGGCCGCAAGGCATATGCCTCTCGCTGCCTTGCTCGGGAACTTTCTTCTTGGTCGTGGCAGCAGCCTCCGGGACCACCTCGGCGGTCTCGGTTGAATCTTCTTCAGCTGAGGATGACTCCTCAAGGTAGCTGTCGATGCGTGCCCGTTTCCTTTGGGGATAACCGCAACGTGGGCTCGGGGCGTTGATATCGGCTATTGTTTCCTATTCTGGTACGAGAATGATTGATGGCTCTTTCTAACAGAATAGGCGGAACCGATCTGATGAAAGTGTGCATTGAAGGTAGAAGATGAAGAAGGATGAAAGATGAAGAAGGATGGAAGATGTGAGTTAGCAAGTTTTTCGACAGCTTTTTATATTTGGAAGTTATGACCCAAGGCTACCTGTAACTGCCACGATTAGATCAGATCATAGTCACGGCGTCATCACGCATGAGGCCCGGAAGCGTTCGATAATAGCTCAAGCAACCCCTCTCCCCACCTTGCAACCAAGACAAGAACAGCAAGAAGCACCCTGATGCAGGACCTCTTGCGTCGTGCAACAGGCACGACCGTCGCACAGTTGGTTGTCAGTCCCGCCGCTCGCATGCTCGTTAGGCCCGTCCTTCTTATAAGTAGAGGTAGGTACAGTCTTTCTCTACGCCCCCTAATTTTGACAAACAGCTCTCTTTCGACAATTGCACAGGGCACCTTTCGGCCTGGAAATATGCATAGCAACCAACCCTATCAAAATGTTGTGAGAAAGCCTCATATACACACGCATAACCCCTTTCTTCCGGGCTCTAAAGTCCCACTCCTCCTCCTGCTTGCGGCTACGACACCTGACAAGAAACCAGGATATGTTGATAAGCATTGGCTTTGAGGGGAATAAGCACATACGACCATACCCACTGGAAAACTCGGGATCCCGTCCGCTCTCCCATAGATAAGCCAGTGAGGGCCAGACTAGTAGTTGGGTCGGTGACGACCAGCGAATCCCTGGTGTTGTATGTTCTTTTTTTCGTGGTTTTCCTCACTTATCATCTTTTGCCAATCAGCTGGATTCTGCGGGTTGGTGTCAACATTCATTTTTACTTGCAACGGGTTCAAGTATTCAGTATATACGTGCATCTTTATACGCCTATGATCTACAGTTGACCCCCAGACATATATATATATACGTTCGTACATGTTCCCCTTTCTCCTCTTCCCAGCCAAGAGATCCCGCCTTTCAAGCAGGTACGTAACACCCGTTCCCATCGCCATACCTACCCCCAAGTCCAACTCCCCCCCCCCCTCCCCTAAACCTCCGTACTCATCTCATCCCTCCCCGTAAAGATCTTCCAAAGCCTCTTACTAACCGCCTTCCCCACCCTCTTCTCCCCAACCTCCCCTTCCTTATTAATCACCCTCCTAACATCCTCCAACGTCCCCGGCCCCCCTTCCTCCAACGCCTTCACCAGCCGCCCAACACTAGGGTACTCATTCGCGATCCCCATGGCTATGGGAGCCGTGATCCTCGACACCTCCTGCAGCATGCGCACGTACGCTTCCTCGGGTCCAATAGCCGTCCGCACCTGTCCGCTATCCATGCAGAAGCCCGCCGATTTCATCAAGTAGTCTTCGTGGCGCCGTTTATAGGGCGCGATGGCGAGTTGTTGGGTGAAGAGCTGTAGCTGGTGGGCGGTCTCTTGGGGACAGGTGGTTTCGCGGATTTGCATGGAGTAGAGGAGTTGGAGTTGGAGGAGGGCGGTGTCGATTTGGGATTCGTTGATGGCTACGGGGGGATCGTTCTTTTTGGAGGTAGTGCGGCGGGACGAGGAAGCTGTCGCGGATTCGTCCTCGGCCAGACGGGAGCGGACGGCGGAGGCAAAGTCGTTGTTGCGCTTGTTGCGGTTCTTTGAGAGGAGCGCTTTCAGGCCTTCGATGAGGTAGATGGTTTGGTGGCCGGGAAAGTGGCGTTCTACGTAAGGTGTTCTTTTTAGTAAAAGTTTCAAAAAAAAAAAAAAAAAAAAAGCATCAGCAAACGCTTGCAAAAAGTCCTGGGTAACCTACGCATCTTGAGCACGTGCGCTTCGAGATTGTGGCCCTCGGCGCCCATTGCGAGCTTAGCGAATTCGGCGGCGGGGAGGATGACGAGGCTGAATTTCTCGGTTCCGATGGTCTCGGGAATGGGGTCATAGTGGTGGCGTTCTTCGTTGTAGCGGGCTTTGACCACGCGGCGCCAGCGTACGACATTGTCGACTGGAGAGGTCCAGGTGTTGATCTCCTTGACATCGATCTTCTTTAGGAACTCCTCGGCTTTGATCCTGGCCGCCTGGTTGAGGCTAGACGGAAGATCCACGATCATCTCGGGCGTGGCGGTTTCCTTTCTGATCTTTAGCTTGTTCGCTTCTGCATGGGCGGCGGCGCGCTGTTTCTCTTCGGCCTTCTGTCGTTTCTCGCGCTCTTTTTCTTGCTTTTTCCTTTCCGCTACTGCTTTCTTTTCGAGGGCTTTATCTTCTCTTTCTCTGGCTCGTTCTTCGGCCGTTTTCTTTGCACCTCCTGTGGACTTCGTTCTTGTCGCGCCAGTTGTTGTGGATGCGGACTTGGTGAATGGCCGTTTCGTTGGTCCCGACAGATCACTCGTTGTGCGATTAGCTGGGAAGCGGAGGTCGGATATGTCTGGGAAGTCATCTTCGTCGTCGGATAAGGGGTCAGCGACTACGTCCTCATCCGAGTCATCGAGGGGAATAACCACTGATTGACTTCTTCCTAGTGGGCGGCGAGGACTAGGTTTCGCTGGAAGGGGGGCCGAGCTTGATATTGGGTCCCATGCTGCTGCTGTAGTTGCCGCCCTTGACGTTTCCCGTGGTTTCGGATTAATCTTTGGCGGACTGTCTGCAAATGGATCATTGTCGGAATCGTCCTCCGATGGTTTCCTGTTCGTTCTTGGTGGGGTGGCTGCGGACGGATCATCATCGTCGGAATCGTCTAGGATGGTGACATCTGGTGTGACTTTTACAGAAGCAGGTCCCTTGCCTTTTTGTTCTCGGGTGGGCCTTGGGGGTGGACTCGCAAAAGGATCGGAGCTGTCGCCATCGTCACGATAGGTCGGTTTGGGCGCTTTGGATATCTTCGGGCTAGAAATATGAGGAGAGCTGGAGAACTCAACATCCTCCATCACCCTACTGCTACTACTCCTTGACGGCCCTGGTCGAGCGGGGATTTTGGTTGTGGCTGGTACATGTGTCTGCGCCAACCGAGGTTTTGGGCTGTTGGACTTAGAGACTGGAGGAGATAAGCGCTGTCGCTTCCTAACTGGCTCGCTTGTTCGGTCACCTCCGGATGTCGATCTGGCGATATTGTCAATATCGAGAAAGCCATCCGAAGACAGCCATGATATGTCAATGTCGAGTGTCGAAGTTTCCTTCTGCGTTATACTCCGAGCAGAGCCCTTGATGGACTTCAGTTCTTGACTGTCTCCCGTGAGATCAAAGGTGCCGAGACCTGATTCTTTTCTGGCGAGGGTTTTTGACGCAGATATTGGTGGAACATCTTCGGCTGTGAGGTTACAAGTGTCGTGGTCTAGATCATCATCGGGGATGTGCTTCTGTGCGCTGGGCGGAAGGCGCGACGACTTGGTGTTGACGGCGGCTGATGTTGAGCGAGGTCCTACCTCTGGGCTGGAGAGGACCCAAATGACCTCCGAGGGCATGACTCAGGGATTCAATGGCGCGTGGAAACTCGTTGAATGTTGTTTGTGTCTCTCCATAACCCGAGTCGCTGGTGGAGACAAAGACGCGGACAATTTAAGTTCAAAATGCGCGTTGGCCGTTTGTTTTGGGGCGGGCGGCTTTTCGGCGAATTCTCTGTTTGCAATGTCGCAGAATGTCTGTTTTGGCCTGTGTTTTTCTCGCGACTATTAGCCCGGTGCGCGACGGGCGACGGGCGACGACGTTGCGACAGCGTGACGGGATGCGGTGCAGTGCGATGCGGTGCGGTGACATGGTGTGACGACATGACGCGACGGGAAGACGCTTGGAGCACGAACTTGACGCGGGTTTCACGTGATCTGAGCTTAATTGGACCCCGCTCCCCACTCTGCCGTTCCCGTTGTTTCCATCGAATCGCTGCTCCTCGGTTTCTCCACTTTTCGCTCTGTTTGCTGTTGTTGGTTTGTTTGCCGATCCGGCCAGGCCGACCCCGTTCGCACCATCAATCGCAATGACCGACGACCGACTGATCGACGACCTCTTGGCCCGGGCCCCGGATTCAAATGTCCAGAAAATGCTGTCATAGCCGGCCATGGTGGACCACCAAAGACGAAGCGAAAAACGTGATCAATGGAATGGAAGAAGGTGAGGAAGGTCATTTCTCTTCCTTCTGAGACTCTCCCGTGTTTTTCGCCTTATGTCTCAAGACTTCGGACACACCGTATCGAAACGGGTCAGCATCACAGTGCTGCTGGCAGCCTTCAACACTCGCCCGTTTTATGAAGGATAAAACTCTGCTCCCATCACTGTTCCTTCTCGCATACACAACGAGATTAGATGAGATGATCGTCCATCATCTTCGAATCCCTGCATCTCCCAATTCAAAGAAGGTCTTGGCATTGGGGAGTCCGCTTGCACGTGGATGTCGTTCTGTCGGTCGTTCAGCAGTCTGTCTGTTTGTCAGCTCGTTATTGAACCCCGTCTCACCCCGGCAACATGCCAAAGACGGGGCTGCCCGGGCGCGCCGCGATCTCTTTCCTCTTTTCCTTATTCGTCTTCATTTTCTCCTTCTCTTTCCCACGGCGAAGCGAAAGACATTAACCGAAACGGGCCCGAACTGGCTGACAGGGGCTTAAAATTCAACGGGGAAGCTAACGCAGGTGCACGGTCACAGATTCCCATCCAAATGTCACCGAGGTGTCAGTGCTTTTAGCAAACGAATTCGGAGCATGCGCTCGTTTGGGAGACTGTTGCCGTGTAGGGCGCGGGAAGGCAAACTGGGGTGGAAGATGCACACGCCATGACCATCTCTCTGTGCACTATATGTGTGTAAGTTCTAAGATGGTGAAGGCCGAGACCTCTTGCCAATATTTCGACCTCTTTCTTGAAGCTTGAAATGACCGACAATGGCAACGCAGCATCGGTAACATGAACATCAGCCCATCGATCTTCGCGAGGCTGTTGGCTACGTCTAGAAGGGGTAAGGTATCCGGAGCCTGCCAGGCTAGTTTCTCCGAAGCCCGGCGGGACCTAGGACCTCTTTCATTCTTCTTCATGATTCCCGCGGTGCCGGTGGGTGGATTGCACTTTTTCCGCCCGTTGATATCTGATTCGGCACAGACCGCTCATTCCGATGACGAGCGAAAGACAATCAAGGAGCCCCATAAAACGATAGATAGCAAGCGCGCCCCGCATTCTGGCATCAGATCGTATCGTTGTGGTGTTGTGCACGATCAAGCTGATGCGCGTCGTTGGCCCTCTGAAATCTGAGCATCCAGAAAGGGAGGAGAGGGTGTTGAAGATTGGGTCTACCGCAAAATCTCACTCACGTCGGATTTATCCCCACGCTTTACGGCCAATTACACCTCGACAAGGACTTGCAGGCCGGCACTCAACGGAAGCATCCAGACACAGCAGGAAACGATGTAATTGGCCTGTATAGCGTGGGGATAAATCCGACATGAGTGAGATTTAGCGGTAGTCGCCGTTGACCTTGATCAACGCAAGGACGGAATTTTGAGCGCTTTCGATTTCCCACTTGGTAAAATAACGGAATGCTTGTAATCTCGAACTGGCCGAACATCTCGATTATCTGGAGAACCCCTTCTAACGAGCAATGGTGAATGTCGGATATCGGCTGTTGATTGGGCAGAGGGGCCCGCCTTGGTTCGGCGCCTTGAGGGCATGTCTTGCGAGCAGCGAATTGCATGTGTGTTCCTGAAAAGCGTGCCTGTTTCCGTGCAGTGTGCCTGCAGATCCAGACAGACCCCTTGCTTTGGGCGGTTTTTGCCGAGTCCCATATTTAAACGACTGTCCTGCACCACATAAATCCATCGGCTTTAGCGCGGTCTTATCACCGGACCTACTGCCAAGCTTAAGTTCCTTGGCATCCGTGGTACCTGTCTTTGCGCGCTCGCAATCACCACCACAGTCATCATCTCAAACCACGACAATAACAACGCAAAACGATATCTTTTGAGACGCCATTTCACATGCTCATCGCGGAGGCTCTCACCGGCCCCCTGCACCCCCGGAGCTAACCTTAACTGACCCTAACTGCTAACCCTAACCTAAGGTTGTGTTCGTTCCCGGCTGTACCACGGTAGGGAAACCCAGTTTTGGTGGCTGTAAGGTTAAGTCTTACAGCTGCACTTTTTGTGTTCGGCTGGATTTCAGTAAAAATATGCAAGTCGCTGCATTACCCCAAATCCATGCAAGGCATGCATCTGACCAATCAGAGGCCCAGATTCCTTACTGAAATGGCCGGATTTTTAACATTTTTAACAGTCCTAGACCCTATGTATAAGGCTGTGAGAACGGGCCTCTTTAGCGCACCATACCCCCCAAATCCCCTATAATTACAGCGCTCCAATTCTTACAGCCCAGTACCAACGAACACAGAGCAGTAAGGAGATCTTTGGCTTGTATTACTATTGCATTACCGTATAGGGAGTGCAGCTGCGGGTTATATACGGTAATGCAAGGCCTCCTCTATCGTGGTACGGCGGGAACGAACACAACCTAACTAACCCTAACTTCGTCGTTAACTTGTAGATACAGTCGGATTACCGCTTTTTTTATTCAATTAGGTTTTATCCCCCCTGCCCCGCTAAACCCACTATAATATAGCTGGGCTGCCAGTCCTACTTAAACCTACTTTTTAACCCTGCTAGCTACTTACAAACTTCCTTACTAGCTGTATGCCCCGTACTAGTAATTTTACAGAATTTCGCCCAACCTCCCTACCTTTCTCCCCTCCCCTCCTCCTTCCTCAAACAATAACCTTTTTCGATTTTAATTCGTGCTTTAAAATTATTAGAATTAATAGATTAATTAAACAATACTATATTATCGATCGCGATACAGTTTTTTATTAAAGAAGTAAGTATTAAATAGAGTGATGTGTTTAAGCTTACCGCTATTAAGTTTTCTATCGCGGGTTTATTAATATCAAAAAGTCAACCGACCTCGAAGTGAGTTTTTATTTCAAATTTCAATTTATATTATTACCCTATATTATTAATACTTTATTTTATTACTACTTTATTTTATTATTATCCTATTTATTTAATTATAGCTTTTTATTATATAGTTCCCCTCCTAACTCCCTAAGCAACTTAGATTTTAGAGCCTATATTTGAAATCTCTACTTTCGATTTTTATTCTTCGTTTTTATTAGAGATATTATTTTTATTAATATTAACCGACCCCGTACCCCGCCTTTTCTATAACGGTATTATTAAACGATAGAAGCTAGGTAGGAAAATTAAGTTTCTTTATTAGAGATATAATTATAAATTTTATATTGTCCCTAAGGTTGTTAAATGAATTTAGGGTAAATATTTCCATTTAATTAAGATTAAAATTATCGATTTTCTTTTATATTATTTTATTCTTGCCCCTATTTACGATACTATTCTACTTTTACGACGACCCCACTCCCGCGTAAATATCTTTGAAGTCGATTTTAATTAGTTCGAAGGTTAGAAGGTTTATAATATATTTAATAGATATATCCGCCTTATTTACCTAATTATATCCAATTAGTTTAGGATTTCTATATTAATTATTTAATATTGGTGGGCGAAGAAGAACTTTATTATTTATAGGTATAATTTCCCCTTTTGGCCTAAGTTTTTAAATTTGGAAAAGAAATTGTTTGCCAGCTTCTTCGATAAATATAAAGCGGGCGAATTTATATATCGGTTGGTTTAGGCGAACGTTTATAATTATTTTCTATAAGTTTATTGGGCTACCCTATATGGAATTTCTATTTTCGACCGGTTAGTATAGGGGATTTATATACTATTATAATATTATATTTCGTCGGATTATATAGTAGTCTTTAAAATTATTAGAAGATGACCTTCGTTTTATTATTAATTCTTTTTAAATTCGTACGTAGAAATATTATTATATTTATAGAGAATAAAATTAATTATTTAATTTATAGCCCGCCTACCCCTTATAAAGTAACCATTTTATATTATATTTTTTATTATTAATTAACTTCCCCTCTTTTAATTAATAGGCTTATAAGTGATTTATTATTAATTTCGACGAAACCCCCATCTCTTTCAAATTTTTTAATAGTATTAGGTACAATATTAAAAGTAAAATATTATTATAGGTAAGACCAATAGAAATAAATAGAGTAAATAGTAAGCGATTTTGATTCTATATATTTTTGTAAATGGATTTTAGCGGTTGAAACCGAAATTGATATTTAAAGGTATATTAAATACTAATCGAAGAAAAATTATAAATAGTAAGTTAAATTATTTCTTTTATTATTTTTGTTTCTTTTTTATACTTTTTTATTTATATCTATCTCCTTCCTCTACTCCTTGGGTTATACCTTTGAATTATAACTCACGTATAAGACTAAAACCGTTAGAAGGTATTAATGCTATATTAATCTTATTGCCTCCGGGTAAATAGGTAAATCCGAATTGAGGCGGATAGATAAACGCAATACTACATACTATAAACCTAAGGATTCCCCTTCTACTACCCTCTTTCTATCTTTTTTACTTTTTTTTCTTTCTTTTTCCTTATAATTAATACGATTATTAGTTTAGAATAAGGTTTTAACCCGATAAAAGGGTAAATTAATACCGTATCTTCTATTTATTGCCTATAGGTAAATATGTTATAATATAAGTAGAAACGGGTAAATAGTATATTCCCTACTTGGCTATAGGAAAAAAAGAAAGAAAAAAGGAAGAAAGTAGAAGTTATACCTTTTTTTCTTTTTTTTTCTTTTCCATTTCTAATATTATTTTATATAGAGGAAAAAGCGG